TTCTTTAGCACCGTATAAATAAACCTTCCCATTTTACTCCACAGATGCCTGTTTCCATACTACTGCCCAGCCAACAGCTCTGCCATGATGTCTTGTGAAGGGGGGTCCATGCCAGTCAATATTAGTGGTCTCAGAGGAACCAAAAGCAGCTGTTGTAGTTTGTGTGAGGGGGGCACCTACCGTCCTTATCTGTCACCCTCTCTGCAATGCCTGCCATGTCCACCAGGTTACTACTGCCCCCCAGGTACTGTGAGATTTAAAAAAAGCACAATTATGTAACATCTTATAATAATTTCACAATATTTTATTGATTATTGTTAAAATCAAATCAGCTTGAAATGTTTCTACTGCAATAGGCACAGGCAACTACAGGAGCAATCCTTGCCCTCTTGGCTTTTTCTGTCATTTGGGATCCACTCAGCCAATCCCTTGCTCATCTGGCACCTTCGGTAACTTTACCCGTACTGAGAAAATAAACGACTGCCACCCTTGTCCACCTAACACCTTCAACCACCTGCCAGGACAGAAGGCCTGCTTTCCCTGCGGCAGTTCCTCCACCTCACCCGCAGGTTAGATTTTGTGATGATTGTTTTCATATTCACTGAATACAGCTAATTGTGCTGATGCTTGTATCACTGACTGCATTTTTCTGTGTTTAAAATACCCAGATAAGCATTTTATGGCTTATTGAACACAGACTATAAATCATGGCTATGTTTTTACCAGTACATATTACTGCCTCAATTGTCAACCTCTGAAAAAAGAAGCTGTCGCCTTTATCTGTATATGTCTATTTAAATAACCCTGCAATGTAAACTAATGGAAATGTAAAGGTTTATGACAAAAGGCTGTTGTACTCAAAGATTGGTAGATCACCCCAAAGTAGTAGTACTTCAACATATTTTCCCATGTAAAACTAAAAATTAGCAATCAAAGAAATGACTCAAGTAGAAGTAAAAAAGTATTTCAAAAAGAGGCTAAGTAAAGTAAAATGTATGGTGAAGTAAAACTACTCCTTAAAGTACACTTTTTCCTAAAGATTACTCAAGTAAATGTAACTATCTAGTTCTGACTGTACTGTACTTATAACATGTAGTAGTTAGGTTTGAGGAGAAAATAGAAAATAGGATTTGTTTCTCATTTGGGGTGAATGAGGGCAATGTATAGGCTTACAGGTTGGCAGACAGGTAGTTGTGATTAAAAAAACAAAGTTAATTTAAAGAAAACAAAGTGTTGCAAATGCAGAAAATCCCTGAGCGAAAAATCTCAAAAACTGCTGAGCAAATATAAACTTAAACACAAGAGAACACAGGGAAAATGCTGACAAGGATCTGACAAGAAGCACCTGAAGATTAGATAGTTGATTGCTGAGAGTTTATGAGTATCAAGAGAAAGGCATGACTGTTATAAAGTGATGCCAGGTGCATGGTGAGTAAAAGTAAAGAAGACAGATAGATACTAAACATAAACACAGAAACATCAAACATCAGACCAAGGGAGCAGACAGAAAAATGCATGAAATAAAAATGGAACCAAGATCAATTTAATAAAATCTTGGGACAGAAACATACAATATGTAGTCATCAAAAAAATCATAAAATAATAATAATTTATAT